GCAAATATTAAAAAGAAAGAGAAAAGGAAGGAAAAAGTGAAAGAAAAATAAAGAGGGAGGAACAGGAAAGAGAAAAAAGAAGAGGGGAAAGGAAAAGAAAGGAAAAAAGTAAATAAAAAAAAGAAAAGGAAAAAAGGGGGAAAGGGGAAAACAGGAGAAAAATGGGGGGGAAAGGGGAAAAAAGGGGGAAAAAAGGAAAACAAAAGCAGCTTTTCCCAACATGGAAAAATTTCCAGGGGGTTCAAGCTCCAACCCAAACTGGAAGCCCAAAGAAGCTCCCGGATCCCTGATAGGAAGTGACGGGATTTTCCACTCCAAACCCCATTCCCAAACACACCTTCAAAAAAACCACAGGATGGAGAAAGAAATAAAATAGAAGCCTCCCCAGACCAGTCCAAAATTGGGATTATTCTTAATTGGCTTTCTGGGATTTCTGGCAGGGATCCAGCCAGGCGGGGAAAGGAAAATCCAGCCAAAAACTGTGGGTTTGGTTATAACTTTTTTCATAGTTTTTGTAACACCTTGTTAAAGCCAAAAGCTCCAGATTGAATATTAGTGGGGAAGTATTTTCTCCTCTCCCCAAGTTGGGTTTCACTTTCTCCTCCACCTGCACCAAAATAATCTGGTTTTTTGGGGAGCATCAGCACCCCTAAACCTAAAAGGTCTTATGGTCTTCTGGTAGGGCTGTGTGGATATTTGGGATTTTCCTGCCTCGGTATAAAAAACCTACTACAAGGTGGGATGGAACAGCTGGCACAGGATGCTGAAGGGTGGGAGAAGAGTGGCATGGAAAATGAAAGTCAAGGTGAAAAAATAAAATAGAGAAAATGAAAGAAACAATAAACATTAGAGAAAAAATTTAACAATTTAAAAAATCAAAGATATAATCTGGAATAAAAACAAAACTAAAGAAAATAATAAAGAATATAAAATTAAAATAAATTTAAAATTAAAATAAATTTAAAATAAATTTAAAATAAGTGATAAATAAATAATAATTTTTTAAAATGTGCAGTTGTGGTGCTTTGGGATGTGGTTCGGTGGTGGATTTGGCAGTTGGACTCGATGGTCTTAAAGGTCTTCTCCAACCCAGCTATTTAACAGACACCAATTAACCAGAGCTGGGACTACCCAGCGTTTGTGTTCCCATTTGGAAGAGGAAAAGCCAAAAAAATAGGATATAATCAAGCAGTTGGGAAGAGCCGAGGCCAAATTCCCATCTTATTTATACAGCTGCAAATCACAGCTGGGCAAAGGCCACCTCATCCCGCTGGGATCACAGCTCCATCCCGCCAGGATCATGGCTCCAGCCCATCCCGCCTGACTTGGGTTTTCCCATGGGGATTACATGGAGCATCACCTCAGTCCTTCCAAGGCTGGAGGCAGGGATAAACCCGAGTTTAAATTTAGTCAAGGATTAATTCCCATCCCTCCAGATTATTATTTGGAGCCGGCATCTTAATGATCCGACTAACGACGCTGGGAATTAATTTATTTTTGGGCTAATTAGAGGGCATTTGTTAACACCCTCTTTGGTGGTGGTGAAAATTATTTGGGAATCAAGTTATTTGATAGTGTGTGGGATATTAAATGCAACTAGGGATTGTCTGGATCCACTGAATTATCCCTCTAACACTCCAAAAAAGCAGCTGGAGTAAAATCAGACTGGGCAATAATTGAGGACAGGATGCTGAGATCCATCGGGGGTACCCGCGACCTAAAATAAAGAGGATACTGATGCTTGGTCCGGCTTCCCCACCATGGCTGGGGATGTCAGATCTCCCTTAATTTAACCCTAACTGTGGCAAAAGTTTCCTCCCAACTTTAGGAAGCGCGGCTCCTTGCTCCTTGCATCCTGCCCATCGGCTTCTCCGCCACCCCATCTCACATCTCCCACCCCTTTTACTGGTTACTTCAGGCCAGAGCAGCTCCTATGAAAATCAGTGATGTAAAACTGGGGTGTCCCAGCACCCTGGGTTAATTTTCTCCATGTCTTCCAGGAAATATCCCGGGAAGCCAGCACACATCTCAAACGCAGCCGGGATGAGGATGGTACCCAGAGGTGCAATCCAACCCCTGCATCTCTGGAGATGGGTAAAGGATGCTTTTCCCCAGCAGGGCCAGGCCAATATTTAAGTTTTCTGGGAGGATAAAAAAAAAGCCTTATTATTACTCAGAGACTTATGGATGCTGTTGATCAACTTGGAAAAAAGACATTAAGTAATTCAGGAGTTCACCAGGAAAAGCCAAAATTATCCAAAATCCAAAGCTGCCCTGGTGAGGAACTCATTTTATCCCTGAGTTAGGAAAAACAGTTACTCCTGATGCGCCAGTGGGATAAAACCCTCTTCTCCCAGCACAACTTTATGCATTGAATCCAAAAAATGAGATTTCCTTAAAAAAAATCCTTAAGAAAAAGATGAGATTTCCTTAAAATAAAGGTGATTTCCTTTAAAAAAAAAAACACTATTACCTAAAGAAGAGATTTCCCTTAAAAAGGGGTAATTTCTCTTAAAAAAAAGAAAAAGGCAATTTCCTTAAAGGAAGGGAGATTTCCTTAAGAAATGAGATTTCCTTTAATTCCCTCTCCCAAAAATGACGGAGAACGGAATATGTTTTTGTAGGCCCAGTGGGGAAGCTCAGCATCACTCTTCTCCCTGATTTTCCCTTTGCCCCATGATATCAGGGGGTGTTTAATCTTACTTATATATACATACATAATATTATACAGACCTCAAGTTAAAAGGAAGGGGGTCACAGGACCCCTCAGTGCTGATTTTGGGGGGCCAAGGCTGCAAAGTACCTTAAAAAGCCCAATTTTGGGATGCTGAGGAAGGCGGCATCTCTTTCCCTTCCTGACACCGCCAGCTCCCTTATTAACCTCTCCCGTAATTAGCCTCAAGCAATTAACTTTTGCCCCTAACGAAGGGATCTCAGCACAGGGAGTTAAATAAAATAGAAGATGGTGCTGGGGGGACAATAAGGGGGAATCCTGATCCCCTCACCCTTCTGTTCCAAACGGCTTAAACCCAAAACATGGTGATATTTTTTTCCCCAAAATCACCCAAAATCCAGCGAACTCACCCAAGTCCCTCTCCCCATACACATGAGGCCATAAACAGGCCTCAAAATATCAGACCCCAAAGGTTCTGGGGAGAGAACAACCAATTTCTTGCAACGGGATGATGCCAAACGCGCCGAGTCAGCACTTTTGGAGGCACAAGTCCCGAAAGTTTCGCCAGAGCCGGGTCCGCCGAGCCACGCGCTGCTTCTCCCCCCTCCAACCCCCAAAATCTTCAAGGATTTAAAGGTAAAAAAAAAAAAAAAAAAAAAAAAAAAGCCAAATTAAGCCATTTCCTCTCCTATTTTCTGCTTCTTCCCAGCAGACAGCTGCCCTGCATCTCGGCCAAAAATAATCCATCCCCCCCCTTTCCTCAAATCTAATCTCCCCGGCTGGGAGTTTGAAAATATCCTGTCGGGTTTAGAGTTTCCCATTACCCGGCGGGCAGCAAGATAGTGGGAAAAAAGATCCTTGGGAGTGAGAAAAACCGGGAATAGCCCACACAAAGAGCTCCGGAGCCCAAGCTGAGCTTCGATGCCCCACAAGGATCGGGATAAAGTGAGGGGGGACACCCCAATCCCTCAGCAAAACTTCCCCAAGTTGCAGGATGCTGCCAGCGGAGCCAGCCTCCTGCAGATGGAAACGCACTAAAAAAATTCAAGGATAAATTAAAAATAATAATAATAATCATCACTATTATTAATAAAAAGCCCTCACCGCACTGCTGCAGAGTCACCAAAAAGTATGGAATATCCATCCAACCCCGCGGGATGGGAGGGACAAGCCAGGGGGTCCCGTGAAGCGTCCCGGGGAAAACTGGGGGAACTGAGGTGCACCGGGAGAAGGTGGCACAGCGGGGCAACGGGGTTGCACGGGGGGGTTATCCCGGGAGAGGTGCTGGGCTGCGGCATGTCAGCGAGGGCTGTGCTCTGGCGCTGGCATCGAGCCCACGTGGGGCCCTGAGAGGCGGCACGGTGCCCCCCGTCCCCGGTGGGTGCCCTGGGGGGGCACCCCGAGGTAACTGGGTGCTGTGCAAAGCTGTGAGGCTGCGGATAAGGCGACCCCCTCCACGCCCCCCCACCCTGGCTGCACAGGGGGCAACTTCCCAGCTGCCAAACGCGATGAGCTGGGGGGGCTGCAAAACCCCCGGGAGTCTGGGACCAGCCACTGCAACCACTGCGAGGGGGCTGCAGCCAGCGCGGGCTGCCAACCCCCCCGGGGGAGGCACTACAACCGGCTGGACGGGCTGGAACCAACGCCGGGGTGGGGAGCAATCCAAGCGCTCGGGGGTCTGCAGCCAGTCCGAGGGCACTGCACCTACCTCGAGGGGCTGCAGCCCCCCAGAGGGACACTGGTACCGTCCGGGGTGGGGGGCAGTCGATTGCAACCCTCCTAAAAGCACCGTGACCCCCGGTGTGGGGTCGGCAACCGGGCAGCGGAGGCTGCAACTTGTTGGGGGGGGTGGGGAGGGGGGGCTGCAGCCCTTGGGAGCTCTGTAACCGAGCAGGGGGACCGCATCACTGGAAACCCCCGGTATCGCTGCAACAGCTCGGCGGACGGGGAGGACGGGAGTGCGCGGCCCCCCGAACCGCTGCACCCCCCCAAAATCAGCGCGGGAGGTGCGGGGGGGTCACGGCGGAGAACCGCAGCGGCGCGGTCGGAGCTCAGCCCGGAGGGGCAACCGGACACCGGCGACGCCACCTCCAGCGTGGAGGCGGCGGGAACGGCAAGTTACTTCCCGCACCGGAGGGGACGGGGCGATTATCTGTGGGGGGGAAGAGGGGGTGTCCCCGCCGCCGCCACCGCACGTGCCCCGCCGCCCCGCGCCGCTTTGTCCACCGGGCTCCGCGGCTCCGCCCGCCCGGCCCCCCGCGCGCGGCGGGGGCCCCCCCGCTTCCCCTCCGCTTCCCCCGTGACCGTGAGTGAGTGACAGCCCTACCTGCCCGCCAATCTTCATCACACCGACACCGGCCCTGACAGCGCGGCCGCCGCTTCGCCGCCCGCCCGCCCGGCCCCGCCACCGCCGCCGCGCACGCCCTGCCCCGCCCCCGCCGGGCCACGCCCCCGCGCCGGGCCACGCCCCCGCGCCGAAACCACACCGGCCGCGTCGAAACCACGCCCACTACGCCAAAGCCACGCCTATAACACCAAAACCGCGCCTATAATCCCAAAGCCACGCCCTCGACACGCCCCCATCGTTGTGGTCACGCCTTCGGCTACGCCCCGGCCACGCCCCTCTCCCGTCCCGCTCAGCGCCCCTGCTGGCCTCCCTGCGCCCCCTCCCGTCCTGTCTCCCCCGCCCCGGGAACCCCTAGACCGACCCTCACACCTCCTCCATCGGCCTGCGGACCCCCGCCCTGTCCCCAGGATGCTGCTCGTGCCTCCCCCAGGCAGCACGTGCGCCCCCAAAGCGTATCCCCCGAGAACACGTTTGCCCACCCAGCAGCATCTGACTGCTCCGTCTCCCGTTATTTCCCCCTGCAAAGCTTTTGCCCCCCAGACGCGTTCAGAACCAACCTTTGATTTCCCCCCACCCCAACCTCCCTCGGAGTGCCCTCTCCAACAGCAAGCTCACCACGGGGGTGTCACCAAGCCCCTCCACCCCCTCAGCACAACCATAAAATTCAGGGCACCCCATAGAATCCCACCCCAAGCCCTTCCTGTGGGATTATCCCCCAGGAAAAACACCCTTGTTTTGGAAGTAATCTACTAATTATTGTTAATTTGGGGGAAAGGTCTTTCTGACCGAGCTCCCCTCACCCAAATTTCGGTCCACATGAGACATTAACCACCCTCCTCTCTCCCAGAGACCTGAAGACGAGGTTTCTCTGGAGTCACTTTCACTGGGAGCACTGGGAGAACTGGGTCCTGCAGGTAAGTTTTCCCCCACTTTAAGGCAAAAGCCACAGGGACAGATTTTTCCAGATCAGCCCAGCCACAGTCTGGTTTCTCCCAATTTTTCCATCCCTTCCCAGATATAAAATGCCATCAAACACAGGGTTCATGAGAAATTCTGAAATTCTGCCCACTTCCTAAGGAATATTGGGTGGGGAAGGGAGTCACTCAAAACAGCCCTGGAATTCCTTTGGGATGGGTTAAAATTGGTTCTAAAGAGTTACAACAGGATGCACCAGCCAGCAGCACTAAATGGTGCATAAGGAATGCCATAGGGGCAGGGACGTGATGGGAAAGATGGAAAAACAAGTTTAACTTTAAGTCTGGGAACTGAAAACACCTTAATTTTTCCTCTTCGGTTTCCCAGGACAAGCAGACGCTTCCAAATCCCCATTCCTAAATCCCTCTTTCCAACTTGTCCCCCCCAAAAGAGTCCATCCAGAAAATATTTTCTGCTTCCTACTCAGGAGCAGCCTCTAACATACAGTGATGTCCTTTGGGTTGGCCATTGGAGAGCAACAGAAAACAGACGGTTCCCACTTGGAATCCATCAATAAAATAATGGAGAGATGCAATGGATGGCTGGGATGCATCCCTCCCACCCCCCCAAAAAAAGAAAACATTGCTGCACTGCATCACTGGGACAACCAGCGGGAACTCAGAGCATCCAAGATCCCCTTGGAGATGCTGGAATGATTTATAGGAATGTCTTGCTGTGTAAATCAGCCAACGGGACATTTCTCCCCTCCCTCATTACTATTCCATGGAAGCGAGCGACGACGAGGAGCCGTAAAGCTGTCGCCGGGTGTCTCAGCCAGCTGGGGATGCTGGGCAGAAAATATTTTGGGTTTTTCAGGAGCTGGAGAATCGGAATGGAAGAATGAAGGGGAAGCAGATGGAAACCCCATCACGGTGGTATCAAAGGACCGCAGGATCATCCGCGCGTGACCTCTCATCTTGCTCGTATGTCATCTTGGAAAACAGGGATATGAGGAGAGAAGGCACACATGGGGCATATTTTAAGCTACATCATTGCCAAAAATACCCAAGTGCTCAAAATTTTAGGGGTCCCCTGGTGCAGGAATATTTCTTCTGGAGCCAGCAGCAGCAAGCACCTCACGTTCCTTAAGCATCCCAAATTCATTCCTCAAGCATCCCACATTTGTTCCTTGAATATTCCACATTCTCTCCTCAAGCACCCCTCATTCCTCTTCCCCAGTTTCCACTGCCAGTCACCAAAGAAATTCCTCCACTGTTTCTGGAATCTCATGCTCAAATTCCAGGAAAAGTATCCAGGCCCGTATTTTTCCTTCACAAATGCAAAAGCTGCTTCTTCCCTGGAGAGTTTTTCCAGAGATTAATTATCATCCCTGGTTAAAAAAACCTCACAGTGTCTTATTTCCCAGTTGGATTGGCTATTTCATCATCCCGCCATGGGAGCTTGCTGGAATTTTTTTTGATGGTAAATTAAAATTCTCCTGTACTCAATCCTGGTGGGTTTATCCCCAGAAAAAAAAGCATCTTTCTGCTGCAACAGGTCATCCCTGGGTGATCTTCCGGTCACAACTCATCCCACCAGCCCTGATCCTCCAGATCTCCAGGACCGAGGATGCTCAGCAGCCTTCCTACTGAGCAGAGCTGGGGTGCTTCTCCCCACCCTGGACCACCCTCAAGTGACTGCAACTGGAAGGGATGTCCAAACCCCAAAACAAGCAAACCCTCTGTCACGCACCTTATTCCATCCCTATCCTAGTCCAGATTGCTGGAAAACCTCCCCGAAATTAAAATTCCTCCAACCCAAAAATCTCCCAGATTCTGGGGGTCATACCATTTCCCTGCCCCAGGTAGGACATGGGCACCTCAGGGGGCACCTTTTGCATGTCTGAAGTTAGTGTCATAAATATATAATTGCCCCAAACTCATCAGTGCTCATTGAAGAGGTCACAGCCTGTTCCCTTCCGAAAGCAACGAGTACTTGGAGCACGTTTGCTAAAATACTGAACAGCGGCAACATATATAACCAGCAATATTTACATTTTTACATAACAGGCTTCAGGAGAAAACAAATTACATAAAATATAGCGGTTTAGTCTCCGTCGTTTGACTGCTCCCCCATAAATAATTCAATTCTCTTTCCAAGATTGCATTATTGCTCGTGTCGGATTTCTCTGAGAAAGCTGTGACGGGATTCTCCGCGAGACACAAGTAAATTATTCAAGGGTAGATGTTCAAAACGAGGCAGGGCTTTAGGATGCAGCTTTGTGGCTGAGCCCGGCTTAAGCACCGCAACGGGTTGGAGGGACACGATGTCCAACCCCCCTTGGGAGTTAAAGGATCCTGGAAAGGAATCCCTTAACAAAAATCAGGACTCGTTTCGGGTAGGATGCTGCTCCAAACCGTGGTACCCTCCATCCCTGCAGCTCGGGCACCACACTGCAATCGGGAGACGATGCTTAACGCAAACCACTCATTAAAATTTGGGTTGGGTTTTTAGGAGGCATGTAGGACATGGATATTTTCCCACACCTTTCCTGGCCCTCTCCAGTTACGAGTTTCAAGAAGGGAGGAAAAACATTCAGCATCAGCCAAGGCAGCCTGAAAAGGAACATAGGGACCATCCAAACCTAACGATGCTTGTACCAAATTTGGGATGAAGGTAAAGGATTCCCCAAATTTCAGCTATTTAGCTCGTACAAGGTTTCTATTTAACCTGATTCCCCTCCATTTATGGTACTTTACATACCCACAGGATAACTCCTCTTCTAAAATGTTTATTTTTACCTGTGCACATGGTTTTCCTGGGAATAATATGAGAGTCAACCCCAAAAGAATTATGGCAGTGAGACAATGTTGTTTTTGAAGGCACCGTGCATTTTAAATAGTCTCAGGCACACTTTAGAGTGAGTAACACTGTGCTGATTCCCCAACTACTAATAGATAAATACATGGGAAAATATAATTAAAGGTTTTACCAATAATCCATAGGCCCAAGGAGGATGTATTAAGAATAAGTGATCAATGCCATTATGGCTCTATATTCCCAGAGGTTTTCTCAGGTGAGATTAAATAAGATTAAGTTTATTTCTTGTGTGGCATGGATGGATCAATAATACAGAAAGCTAAAGCCAAAAGAAAGGATTTTTCCCACTGGTGAGCTGCCTCACCAAGCAGCTGGGATCAAGTGGGAAAATACCTGAAAAAAGGGAATTCCTCCCCTCCCCATGCTGGCTGAGCAGGGGTTAAGGATGGCTTGTTGAGCCAGGAAAGCACTTTGGGGTTCTTCCAGAGAGCAAATGCTGGATAAATGGCAGGTTATATATATTTTGATTAGAAAATCCCTGCTGCCAACTTACTCCTTTTAAATGTTTAATTTCAAGGCATAATAAGTCTGTGGCTGGTTTTTGCTGCTCCTTCAGGCTCTCCTGTGCAAAGTTACTGCGAGCATCCAACTGACTGATCCTTTCCCAAGCATTTCCAGGTATAAATAAAAAAAAAAAAAAAAAAAATAAAAAAAAAAAAAATAAAAAAAAAGGAGGCTCTGGATGTTTAAAGTGACTTACCTCCAGCACTTCAGCAAGCTTTGGAATTTGTTTTCCGGAGGCAGTATCAGCTGGTTGAGATAGGGATGGGCTGGAGGGATACTCCCCAGGGGAATAAAAAATATAAATAATCATAAAAATACACCTTGCACTAATACTCTAAAAACAAAATCAGGGTTGGGTAATGGGCTGAGCCAGGTCAGGCAATAAAACGCCCCTAGTTTGTTTTTCCTGGGAATATCTGAAGTAGTTGGGTACCAGACAGCCAGCAAACGTGGTGTGGAAATGCTGAATCCTGGCTTTTTAAAATTTTGGCTCCACCTGAGATGTTTTTTCACCTTGGCTGGGCTTCAGCATCCCTTCCCCATCCTCGTTTCGGTTCAGTCCACAACGGGAGTTCAACCTCCACCCACAGCATCTCTTCACCACGCGATGCCAGGCCTGGCTTCTGAGGATCCGGTGAAGGGAGAAGTGGAGAGATGGTCACAACTCTTTAAAGATGCAAATTGAGAAGCAGCCATCATAGCAAGAGAGCTCTGTTAATTCTCTTATGAGTATG